TTATTTCCCGGAGGAAGATCAACCAATTCCCAAGTATGATTACTTAATATGGGTTCTATCTAACTATTGACTACCTCTTTCCAATATTGTGCTTCCGAGGAAGACATTGCTTCTTTGAACGTTTGAGGCTCATTTTCCTATAAGAATGCCAGAAAATCTGATGCAAAGGAAGTAGCTGTCCTTTGACGTTTACTACGTCTTGGATTCTCCTCATCAAAAGTACTTTCCTTTGCTTCTTCCCGAGTTCACATAGATTTTCCATTAAACGACTCAAATTCTATTTTATACGGATAAATATTCTCAAAGAATTCAGTATTATCCGATTCAATTACCGTATTAATAAGAATGTCGGAATTTTTTGATTTATGAACCAGAAACGATATGCCTTACTATTTGTTGCATATCCTACGAAAACGCAATCAACGGTTTTTGGTCAAATCTTTAACCTTTTGGGTTTAGGAACTTGCACTTTAGCCAAACACCTCCACACTTTAAAATATTTTAAATTGAGTTTCCTTCCTTTCCATTTTTCATATGGAATGGATTGCGTTTTGCTATGGGGAACTCGATTCAGTATTTGGTTAGCTGTAAGAATAGCTTCCCCCTACAAGTTCTGAGGTAAACCAGAACTTATTAACAAGGCATTGATCAGCTCCTTTAACGTTCTATTTTTTCTTTCCGCAATTTCATTAGATTGCGGTGAGTAAGGGACCGTTGTTTGGTGAATAATGTTATTTTCCAAACATATTTCTTCAAAAGGAGATTCATATTCGCCGCCCCTATCACTTCTTATCATTTTGATCTTTTTGTTTAGTTGCGTTTCAACTTCATTTTTTTATTTCTTGAATGCATCAATTGCTTCATCTTTACTATTAAGTAAGTAAATATAGCAATATCTAGTACTTTCGTCAATAAAAATTATGAAATACTTTTTCCCACCGCGAGATGGTATTGACTTCATGTCGCAAATATCTGTCTGAATTAAGTCTAAAGGATTTGAATTCCTTTCAATTGACTTATAAGGATGCTTAACATACTTTGATTCCACACATATTTGACATTTTGAGTTATTGCATTCAAACTTAGGCAATACTCCAAATTAATCATTTTTGGAAAAGTTTAAAGTTTTGAAGTTGACGTGGCCTAAAAGTTCATACCATAAATTATTTGACTCAAGCAAGTAAGAAGAAGCTGAATTTATTCATATCAATGGCAATTACATTGAGTTTGAAAAGGCCCTCAGTAAGGTAACATTTTCCTATATACATTTCATTCTTACTAACTACAACCTTGTTGGAAACAAAAACACACTTAAAGCCATTCTTGACTAGAGGTGATGTCGAGACTAAATTCTTCCGCATTTCAGGAACATGAAGGACATCATTTAGAGTCACAATCTTGCAGAAGTCATCTTCAAAGCTATATTGCTCGTTCCTTCAATTTTTGCAGTAGTGGAATTTGCCATAAAAGCTGTCTTGTTGGGTCTAGCGGGAGCATAAGAAGTAAACAACTCCTTGTTAACACAAACATGATGAGTTGCCCCCGAATCAATTCACCATTCTCTAGGATTTCCGACTAGGTTGCATTCCAAAAGCATGACACATAAATTGTCTATTTCATCATTCTTATCGATCATGTTTGCTTGACTTTTCTTCTTGTCCTTCTTTGGTGCACGACATTCACCAGTCTTGTGTCCAACCTTTCCACAGTTGTGGCAATTACCTTTGAACTTCTTCTTGCTCGGGTAATTCTTTGGTCCAGACGGTTTCTTTCTCTTTTTACTCGTTGAAGCTTCCTCAACAATTTTTGCACCCTTTATTGTTGAATTTTCACGAGATTTTTTTCTGCAGCCTTGTTGTCCTCTTCAATCCTTAGGCGAACAATAAGGTCTTCCAATGTCATCTCCTTGCGCTTATGTTTCAAGTAGTTTTTAAAGTCCTTCCACATCGGAGGCAACTTTTCAATAAATGCCGCAGCTTGAAATGTTTCATTTATGACCATACCTACAATCATAAATTTAGGATTAATAATATAATCTATATCTTTAATAAAAATATTGATTCGATTTATACCTTCGGCAAGGAGGTCATGAACGATGACTTGTAATTCTTGAACTTGAGTTATGACAGACTTACTATCAACCATTTTAAAGTCCAAGAACTTTGCGGTAACAAATTTCTTTAGTCCAGCATCTTCCGTCTTGTACTTCTTTTCAAGAGCGTTCCACAACTCTTTCGAAGTCTCCATGACACTACAAACGTTGTACAAGTCATCTTCCAAACAACTCAATATATAATTTTTGCACAAGAAGTCAGAATGCTTCCATGCCTCCGTGACCACAAATCGCTCATTAGCCGGAGTCTCTTCTCCCAAGACCGGAACGTCCTCGTTTATAAAGGGTTGCAGGCTGAGTGTGGTCAGATAGAAGAACATTTTTGCTGCTAGCGTTTGAAGTCCATGCCGGAAAATTTTCCGGGCATTTATGCCGGTGCCATCGTCGGTGCAGGCGTTGTGCGACTTGAAGACGCTGTAGCCATTGCAGCAGTAGTCATTCCAACATAACCATTTTGTTGTCCCGTACTTGTTGTTATTTTTCTGTAAAAGAAATTGACACACTAAATCAGTATCTCGGTGAGGTTTTTATATCTTCAAACCGAATAGAAACAATCGAGTTTTTATATCTTGGATTGAGTAGAAAGTCACAAAGACTTTAATCTCAAATTGGAGTAGAAAATCCAAATATTTTAATCGCCAAAACGAGAGTAAAAAATCAGTACGATTTTAGTCTTCCAAACCAGAAAGTAAGATAAAAACAGAATTTAAATTCCTTAAGCTTGTTAATACACTGTATTCAAAACCCGAAAACTAGAAAATCATTAGTTTAAGAAAATAAAACAGAAAAAATTCCGAGCCCATAATTTCGTTGTGTGTCCTTAAAAAATTTAATCCCCTCACAGTTGTCCAAGGTTACAGATTAATTCCTCCCAGGATAGAACGGAATAACTATTTTGTGATAGTGGCACTTCAAACCACAGAACTCTGGCGAACTCAAATGGCAGAGCAAATCACACAAAAATGCTTACGTTTTGCTTTTGGAAAGCCAATGCAGAATGCAAAAGATTGTGGGGAGAGATTTCAGATTTTTCGGTGGTTGAAAATAAGGCTAAGTCTCTCTATTTATAGCCAAAGAAGTTGAGTCCCAACATGTGCATATGTGCCTGTTCGTTAATAAGGTGTCTATTCAGCAGAAATTATTTAAGTTTCTGTTGAACGGAATGTTTGGTTGCGAACTCGACCATTGGAAAATGATTCCGCAATATTTTTTCCGCAAAAAGATATTAGAAAAGAAAATATTAAATAATGGAAAAGGAAAATAAATTTGGTCCAAAAATTATCAATCAATCGACCGAAGCCGAAGCCAAAGTCGAGCGGAGCGAGCGATGACGACGACGGTGCGAGGCACCACTTCTTCTTAACTCTTTAAGACCTAGAAGATGTGCTTCTCTATATAAGCACAAAGATTTTCTTTCCGTCTTCCAATGAGGGACAAATTGCATTAGTAAAGTGAACTAATTCAAAATTTCATTTCCCTCCATTTCTTTTCCCTATATATATATATATATATATATATATATATATATATATTCTGTATGTTATATACAAAAATTATACAAGTTTTATACACTTTTTCGGCTACCAGATGTAAATGGTTTCTGGCGCGGGCTAAAAGTAATAATACCCCAAACATTTATCCCTATTTTAAAATATTGAAAAAGTACAATCCTTGGAAAATTACTCTTTTTGCTCAACGTCAGAGTGAGTCCAATGTTTGCTCATATTATTTTCATGTTGCTCAGAAATCATTATATTATAGTCTAACGTTGCAATAATTTACAAAAATTTTAGACCGTCATTTAATATTTTCTCATCAAACTTTTATTTTATTTATAAAAAAGTAGATTATGGTCTAAGAGATAGTACATATTAATACATAATTTTTTATTTTTTACTAAATAGCTGATACAAAAAGGACAACCAGCAAACATTTACCTACGTCTCTTCGGAAAAGTGAGCTCAAAGATCGACATTGTAAAAGGCCCAAATCTGGGTCCACATTAGACTTTTTCTGTTTTGTTGCCAAAAAAAACAACATTTAGAGGTTTCATACACGAGACTCTGGTCAACTTTATGAACATAGACGGTAAAACGTCACGATTCAGACATTTTATTGGCCCTACATTCGAGGAAACTAATACTTACCGCGAACCGCTGAGAACTGACTTCCAAAAAAGTAGTTGCACAAACTACGTCGTTATTTTCCCACTTTTCTTTTACCTTGGCCTCCTAGTATAAAAAAACACAAATCCTTTCTTTTCTTTTCTATTCTTTTACCATATTGTCTTCTTGTTTACACTCAAAAACCATTTTCCCAACACATGCATTCATCTGGGCATCTTTCTTGATTTGTTACATTTTTTATCCCTCATTTTCTTGTTAATTAACCAAACAGAGGATAGCAAAATTGCAACACATTGAACCTAGACGTGGGAATTCTTTTTGATGCCCAGAAGTTACAAGGACCATTGAGTGTGCGAGCAAAAAGGCACGGTTGTTACTTAATCTGAGTGTCTGTCTCTCTCTATATATATATATATATATATGTCCTTTTCTTGATATCTTTTTAGGAGTATCTTTAATCGTTTCAAGTATGTTTTTTTATTATTACCACTTTTTACGCTTTTCTTTAGTTCAATTTCTTGTATGTTTAGTTTAGTTTAATAGGTATTTGGCTCTGCATGTGGAGTGTGACCTAAGTGGGGGATCTCATCTTCTATTAATTTCAATGGTATACAAGAACGGCGTATGGAATGAAAAGGGGAGTGCTATATGCTAAATGGAAAAGAAAATGTCTAGTGAATATCATGATTTATATTAATTTCATACAATTAATTTAGTTTTAAGATTATATTTTATTAGTTTCCCATTTCTAGTTTAAGGGTGAAAACAAAAAAAAAACAAAAAAAAGGAGAACATAGTAGTCAGTAGCGATGGACCCATTGTACTGAGATTTGCCCCTTTTTCTCATTTTTATTCTTAATAATCGGGGAAGAGAAATGTCTTGAGATTTATCAAATTAAAGAGGTTCTGTGAGTTTCTGAAGAAAGGGGTTGGGAATGGGGAGGAGAGGAGAGGAGATGAAAAAGGGGAGTATTATAAGCTAAGAAATTTATCATGCTTAACTTGTAGTAACAAGCAGAACTGTTTTTGTACTTTGTTCTTTTCTTTATGTGCTTTCCTGCTTATACATTAGTTTATGAAAAAAAATCAGCTAAGTTTCTCAGTCAAAAAACGACAGTTCGTTGCACTAAGCTCCCATATGCAAGGACTGCATTGACTCTATTGTATTTCCAGATACCTAGACAGAAAAGAGAATATAGTTTGAAAGATTTAACTATTATTTTTACATTTTGGATGTCAACCTTGTCTTTGAGAACCTATCATATTAAATGTGCTTTCTGGAAATACTAACATTAAAAAAGATTCAAATTCTCACTGTAAATAAACCAATGGTTTTGGACATCCATTTTCTGTTAGATAAAATAGAAAAGGTTTGCTTTTAGTTTCCAACACCTGTATGTACTAAGCAAAATGATCAAGATTCATGCTTAGTTGCATATAGCAGTAACCCTTTCTTCAAGATAATAAAGCTCGATGCTCGAATTTTTTGACAATTTATATTAAGTGAAAGCAAGAACTTTCCAAGTTACTCCAAAGTTCAAGAGGGTATCTATGTTTTTCAATACCAATACATCTCGCCTTCATTTCCTGCATGTGTGCAATTTGAAATGGTATGTAGTGTACTGTCATTGATCCTTCTGTATGGCCTTGATTCTTTCTCTTATTAGTTACTATCAAGTTGTAGTGAATGTAGCACTGAGTAATGCTAAGATTGAAGTATATGTTTAGTACCAAGTAGAAGCTAGTTAATTTGAGCAAAAGCCCTTATGAGGTGCCAACTGCATTTTGTTGATTTGGCTTGTATTGGAATTTAGTATTTCTCTTACTGGTGTGATAGAAATTATGTTACCTCTGCCTTACAGGTGAATTAGCCAATTATAATCTAAGATGGGTCGATCTAGCGTTGAGGCAATAGAAACAAAAGAAATGGACTACCAAAGTTTGCCATCCCCTCAACACCAACAAGCACCATATATGCACAAGGTTGGAGTCCCACCGAAACAAAACCTATTCGATGAATTTAAGACCACTGTAAAGGAAACATTGTTTGCTGATGATCCTCTACGCTCCTTTAAGGATCAGTCAAGGTCTCGTAAGTTTGTCCTTGGTTGGCAGGCTGTATTTCCCATACTAGATTGGGGTAGAAGCTATAATGTTTCTAAGTTTAGAGGTGATCTTATTGCTGGTCTGACTATTGCAAGTCTCTGCATTCCTCAGGTATATTTAGAGCATGCACATAGGACTTGTGTAAATCAATTGAACAAGTCTTGATTTTTATGTTTCATGAGTCTGACCATATTGCAACTGGTTTAACAGGACATTGGATATTCAAAGCTCGCAAATTTAGCTCCTCAGTATGGGCTATGTAAGTGTACATTTGCTTTATTAGTTATCCATTTAGTAAAGTATAAAGAACCCTATTTCATGCATGTTTTTTCTTAAATTTGCCAGACTCCAGCTTTGTTCCACCTTTGATTTATGCCTTCATGGGTAGCTCGAGAGATATAGCGATAGGACCTGTTGCTGTTGTATCACTATTGCTAGGGTCTCTGCTTAGCAATGAAATTGATCCAACTACAAATCCTAATGAATATCGGAGGCTTGCATTTACAGCTACCTTTTTCGCTGGCATTACCCAAGCTACTCTTGGAATCTTAAGGTATACAAGAATTGCCAAGATTAAGAGCTTGTAGCTGTACACTTGTAGTTTTGATTTTCTTCATCTCATTCGATGCAAGAATTTATTGCTTTCTTTTCCCTTTCTGACTTGTCAACGGACAGCTAGCTTTAACTACTACTTTGCTTCCTTTTCAGATTGGGATTTTTAATCGACTTCTTATCTCATGCTGCTGTTGTCGGTTTCATGGGTGGTGCGGCCATTACAATTGCCCTCCAGCAACTTAAAGGTTTTCTGGGCATCAAGAAGTTTACTAAGGAAACTGATATCATTTCGGTGATGAAATCAGTATGGCGTTCGGCTCACCATGGAGTGAGTTATCTTGTCCTTCTAGGCATCCTTCTTAAGAGGTTTTATCTGCATAAACGACTAATAGCACCTTTTTTTTTCTTTCAAAAAACTTGCAGTGGAACTTGCCGACAATCCTCATTGGAGCAACCTTTTTAATTTTCCTTTTGTTCGCTAAGTACGCTGTAAGAGTTCTAACATTTGTCTATTACTTAAGTTGAAGTGCTTTGATAGCTTTTGTTGATTCCTAAATGGTTTTGAAAATCAGGGAAAGAAGAACAAAAAGCTGTTTTGGATACCTGCAATTGCTCCTCTGATCTCTGTCATTCTTTCCACCTTCTTTGTCTACATAACCCATGCCGAAAAAGAGGGAGTCGAGATTGTAAGTGCTTACTTTAGGTGCTTCTTTGGTATCATTAACTCTTTTTCCTGATAAGTTTCTGGTATCATTTAACTTGAACTTAATGAAAACATTTTCATTCATTTCTGTAATGACCTTACCAGGTGAGACACATTGAGAAAGGAATCAATCCTCCTTCTGTCAGCGAAATCTATTTCACTGGTGATTATCTCCTAAAAGGGCTAAAGATTGGTATAGTAGCTGGAATGATTGCATTGACGGTAAGCAAGTTAGTTAATCAAAGTTGAAACAGGAGCTTTTATGTTCTTCCACTCAATTGTCGTACTTCTACCTTCTCGTTCATAGGAAGCTGTTGCAATTGGAAGAACATTTGCTTCAATGAAGGACTACCAGTTAGATGGAAACAAAGAAATGGTGGCACTTGGAGCGATGAATGTTGTTGGCTCAATGACATCATGCTATGTGACAACAGGTAGACAAAGATGAATAAAGTACTATTAAAACATATTTAACGATCCGATACCTAGGCTTCAAATAAATGCAGCCTAAGGAATCAGTTTTTGATTGATCTGTTATTGCCTTTCATCATATATACTCTGATACATCGTTATCTTATATTTTAGTGTTAATGCAAAGAAATACTACAAGCATTTGAATTCATTTCTCTGGGCATTCTTTAACTACTTGATCAATTCACTTTTGTAGGTTCCTTCTCTCGTTCAGCAGTAAATTACATGGCTGGTTGCCAAACTGCAGTTTCCAACATTATCATGTCTGTTGTTGTGTTCTTGACGTTGTTGTTCATAACCCCACTTTTTGAGTACACTCCAAATGCAATCCTTGCTGCCATCATTATCTCTGCTGTCATTGGATTAATAGACTATGAAGCAGCAATTTTGATTTGGAGGATTGACAAATTTGATTTTGTTGCTTGCATGGGAGCATTTTTTGGTGTGGTTTTCGCCTCTGTTGAGATAGGTCTTTTAATTGCGGTAAGTATTGTGCTTAACAATTTCATAGGAATAGCCACGACAGTTCAATGATTGGATCTCATTGTTGTGATTATTAAATAGGTCTCCATATCATTTGCTAAGATTCTCCTCCAAGTCACAAGGCCACGAACAGCTATTCTTGGCAAGATCCCTAGGACAAATGTATATAGGAACATTCAACAATATCCCGAGGCAACACAAGTTCCCGGTGTACTAATTGTGAGAGTTGATTCTGCTATCTACTTTTCAAATTCTAACTACACGAGAGAGAGGTAAGCCATTATTTCTTCGATCTTTAATTGGAGTAGATAGATAAAAGAGTGTGTAATTCATGAGAATGAACTTGTTTTCCAGGATATTGAGATGGCTAATGGATGAGGACGAGCAACTAGAATCCGCTGGCTTTCCTAAAATTAGGTTCTTGATTGTTGACATGTCACGTAAGTTGAGAAAGATTACCTTTTTCTTTAAAAACGTCAAGCCATATGCTACCACACTTCTTGGATTAATGACACTTATATCTCATGTTTTTCCACTAACTCTTTGCAGCTGTGACTGACATTGACACCAGTGGCATCCATGCCTTTGAAGAGTTGCACAGAAGCCTACAGAAGAGAGAAGTTCAGGTAAACCCTAATAAATCTGATAATCATATACCCAAACATAGTATCTGAACTATAAATAAAACCATAGGTCTCTTGATATCTTACCCTTTGTCTGTTTGTGCGCGCACCGACAGCTTGTTCTCTCAAACCCTGGAAGACAAGTGATCGACAAGCTGCACGCATCAAATTTCGTGAGCCAAATTGGCGAGGACAAGATCTTTCTCACTGTTGCAGATGCCGTGCTAACATGTTCCTCGAAGTTCCCTGACGTAGTAGTCTAAAGTGGAAAATAGCATACAACCATGGAAACTCACTCGCCCCTATGCTGGGACTGGGAGAAAGAAAAATCAGCAAGAGAGAACCAACTTGCATATAGCAATGTGTAGTGAATCAAAAAGGGACGTTGGATCCTAATTATCAGTGATTGGTGGGACCTTGAGAAAGTGATGGCATTCTAATCCAGAAGCAGAAAATGGTTCATATATAAGCCAATTGTGATAATGCTCTTGTTGAGTTGTTAAAGTTGTCTGTATGTTAGCTACAGTTTAGATTGTATAGATAGTTCAAAACTTTCTTCTCAATGAGGGCTTGCTAAAACCAATGTTGGAATTACCAGGAATGCATATCATCCCATTATATACCATTCATCAACAATAACCAAGAGGTTAAAGTTTGAAATAATGACTCAATTAACTATGGCTCAATCCAAATTTAATTGGAGTCAGCTTTATGAATCGTTTGCGATGTTTCCATTCTATTCTAGTGTTTTTCATTCCAATAGGAAATGATTTGTCTTTTATCACAAATTAAAGTTTCTCTAAAGTTAGAGGTTCTCTACATCTAGTACATATATTTAGACATACTAGTCCTAAAGTACATCTTAATGAGTATAATTTTTTTTTAAAGACATACACTAATATTAATTTTTTTTTGAATATTAAAATAAAAGTTAAAAAGATATATATTCTGAAAGATGCAACCTAATTAGTAACTCAATAAAAGAAGAAAACTTGCTCTTAGTGAATATATTCAAGTTAAGATTTATTCTAATTTTACAATATAAGTTATTATGCTTTCTTTTCCATATCAGCCAAAAAAAACTCTCGAAAATTTAAAGGTTTTTCTGAATTTTTCCTTAGGGAGTTGTATATTCTTGAGTTTACTGTAGAAGATACAAACATGAACCAATTGGCAGAAGACATAATTTTTTCCTCATGAGCAAAATGCAAAATTTTCGAGGAAATTGAGTTAAACATGAAGAATTCATACCTCAACGGCTCAACGTTGTGATTGGCAAAATTTTCATAATTAAATTCAATTTGACATATTATGATATATGTGCAAACAAATCAAGAGCGGTGGTGACAAATAATCTTTATTATCTTCTGTTCTCCCCAATTTTCAAAATAACTTTGCCACATCCTACAAGAGGAGGAAAAAAGCAAACTCCAAATTAGTGACTTGGAAATTTTGTCTCACCATCATTCCTTAGGGGGCCATCTGAAATTCAAAACATACATGATGGTAACTAAAAGAATGAACCAATATCAATTTTAAAAAAAAAAATATCAAACAAAGCACAACGAATTAAATTACACAAAACATGTTGTGGACAAAACAAGAAAATACTTTAAGCAATAAATTGACATTAACGATAAATAGGTTTCACGTAAGCGAAAAGAAGAACGTAGATGCCAATATTTTTTGAAGTACCATATTTGAGGTCCACCACCTGTTTATATATTTAAGATGAAGACTCTAGAATCACTTGGATGCTATTATTTCAGTATCTTCTTGGTATTCTTTTGAATCTTGGCATTGAAAAATCAGCGCTCAGTTAAAATTCTTTTCTATTTTCAGTACATTTCTTACCAATATAGCCTACCTATTTTTGTTAAATTACTGGACAAAAAAGTGAAAGGCACTAAGTAGCAAAAAGTTAGAATTAATAGTTAGTATGTGAGTTATTAATTAAAGGTATAAGCGAAGACTAACCCAAGTGATATTTTACTTGGTTAATGAATCGAAGCTAAATAGGCCTTGATGCAATAAATGGCAAGTAAATAAGTACGATATAAACTTAAATTTCAAATACAGATATTTTAAAATATTAGGGTTTCTTACACAATTTAAATAAGGAAAAATTAAATAAGCAAAATTTTAGTTGATTTTAAAGTTCTAAAAAATAAAAAGCAATATAATGACTATTTTGTCAAGTGTGTACTTTAGTTTTAAAGGGTAAAAAAACGAACGACCTAACCATGCTAAAAGAGCTCTCGACAAATATGGACCTAATGTAAATAGCAACTAAACGTATAAGATGTGCTATCGTCTACAAGAAAGAACATATTGTTACCATTTCGCTTATTCTTACAAATATTGGACCTAACATTAATGGCAAACTACACGTATATTCATATGTGCTATCATCTACCAGAACCTTATTTTCTTACCATTGTGCTTATTTTTTAATAAATCCATGTAAAATAACTTATTCCGTGTGAGTTTAGGTTTAACTCGTTTCTTATTTATTTTCATTAAGATATATTGTAATACCTACGAATTGATGTGTATGGAGTATTCGTATACATGTAAAATCATCTTAGACAACTTTATCTCATTTTAAACTCTATATGTGCTACTTAAGTTCTTCATCGGATGTGATCATTAGTAATCTCATCCAATCGTTTATGATAGCACACAAATTTTAACATACGTATTTATTATTTTTCTGAGATTCATCTTGTGAATATGTTGAACCTTGGAGGCACAAGACTTGCTCTTATAAGACATTTCAGGTCTTACAAATTTCATACAAGCAAAAAGTAGGGGGAAGGAAGAGCTTTGAGGAATTTTTATAGTCATAGTATTTTAACGTTTGTAGGTACTGTTTGACCAAAAAGTATGAAACCTTTTGAAAACTAATTAAACAAAAAAATAATGGATAAGTCCTGACGTGAAAGTGCCTTCAAACCTATTTCATTCAATGGGTATTAAATGATGCAGGTAGCTAGGAGTAAGTGAAAGAACAATGATAAACAATAACTATATTAAATGGCAATAAATATAAATAGAGGGGAAGATTCACCTAATATTGAAGAGGGTGAAGGAGTATTTTCCCTGACTATGTTGAATGACATAAGTGTTATAGAATATTGCACACTTTCTTGGATTTGATGGAAATGACAATAGAATAATTCATAAAAAGGTTGAATCTCTACTAAAAGTGGTTCCTTGTATTTTTCTTGAGTGCTTATCTTACAATTGTGTTCTTATCTCCCAAACGAATCCCCCCACCCTTTCTTTCTATTACTCTATATATCCATGGAGAACATTCCTAAAGAACCCTAAAAGTACAACAGAGAGACTATCCAAGGGAACATTCCTTTTGAAAGTTCCAAGATTATACCAACCGTTGCTTCCGTTCCTGCTACTCGACTTCGGCCTAGATGCGCCACGTGATGATTTGTTCTCGTTAATCACTATTCGACCTCGACCAAGCCCCCTACGCCGAGTTGTAATCGTCGTGATAATCGCCTCTTCATACAAAATTTCCTAGGTCGAATTTTAGCCCATACAGTTAGTCCCTCTGCTTATCGAGGTCGTCTTTTGGTCGGCCTTGATGAGCGGACTTCATCAGCCGCGATATTAAGAAATTTGGACGGGGAGGTCGAGTAGTGGTAGTCGTAGCCGAGATGGGGATGTGGCGTTTTGAGGGCCGCGCTTAATAATAATGGTTCAAAATGACGTCACAGCCTCACGCGTCATAATTACGTATCTTCCTGATGCGCTGCATCGTTTCTTATGAACCTTTTGCTTCGATCTCAGTGCGTGTGGCGGTTAATTTTCTCGATTAATGCACCGGTATTCTTTATAAATAAAGGGAGAAACCTTTTCGATCGAAACTTTACACTTTAGAGTTTCCTAAGCCTGCCTATCTGCCTTGTTCTTTCCGAGTTCCCATTTTCTGCAACTTTCTTTGCCGCCGTCGTTATCTCTTCTTCACTTCTAATGCCTTTGATCCTATATAGTTATACAAATGGCTAGTGCATCTTCGAACTCCGAGGAGATTCTCAGCCCGCCTCCGATATCAGTGTCCATGCCTGTTCGTGATAAAGGGGAGGCCATTGTTGCAGAAGATGATAGCTTTCCCACAGTAGAGGAGGTTGCCCTTCATAGTGACAAGGCCAGGTTGGACTTCTCGAAGTCTCCTGCTGACGAGCCTGTGCCTGAGAAATCTGAAATGGGAGAGGCACATCTTTCCGAGCTTAGGGCCAAGTACAACATCCCTGCTCACATTGACCTGGTCCCGGTCGGAAACGATATGGTCCATATTCATCGTTCTGGGTACTGCGCATTTTACGCGTACCCATTACGAGTGGGCTATTCTCTTCCTCTTTCCCCGTTAGCGGAGGAATTCTGCCGCTACTACAACATCTGTCCAACCCAGCTCTCTCCCTATATTTAAAAACTTTTCATTATGTTGATAAAATACGCGGAGCTGGCCTACCGCGGAATCTCTATCCACCATTTGCTACAACTTTCTCTTCGAGATTTCACCGGGGCACGATGATACACCTTCGCCATCGTGGGGCCAAGGGACTGGTGGTGAAAATGGATGATAAGACTAATCGTAGGTTTTGGGTCGACTTTTTCTTCGTCAAAACCAAGCACGTGGTGGCGAACCTTGCTGGGTTCCCCGAGGAGTGGAACTTCACCCGTAAGTACTTTTGTTGATTGGTTGTTTGTTGTTTTCCTTTGGTTACCTAATTGTTCTTTTATGGTGCAGCCGAGAAGGAGCCTCCTACGTTGGTTGCCGATATACGCAACTGGTTGGCTCAGGTTTTGCCTCACACAGGGGGGATCCGTGAGTGATCGTTATTCAACAAGAAGTTTGGGTGCCGGCTTCTTCGACCGGTGAGTCCAGTTCTGATCTTCGGTCACCTCGACCTCAATATCATCTTTCTTTTTCACTCACGCGGTTTTCCTTGATTTTAGGTCAAAGGGCTCCGAAGAAGGTGAAGGCTCCCATGCCCGCTTTCCGTTAGTCGAGTACCGCGAACAGGTCTCTGACCGCTGTGACTACAGGCGAGTCTACACGGACCGCTGCTTCTTCTAAAGCCCCGGCTCTATGTAGGCCTGACCATCGGGCGACTGCCCCATCAACGGTAACTACGGTTTTTCTTTACTGTATTTGGTGGATGAATCATCGTCGAGCGATGAGGCGGTTCCGTTAAAAAGGCGGCGAATAGAGGTTGGCGGCGAGGTAGCAAGGGGCGAAGGGCCAATAGGTGGTGAGCCTGAGCCGGCCGTGCCCGTACCTGAAATCGGCGTGACTTTGGACACCCAGATTTCGGTTCCTGATGCTGTGATTGCCCCTTTACCAGAGGTTGCCACGGTCGTGTGGAGGAATGATCCGTACATCCGAGCCGGTCGACATTCCTTCCTATGCCGAGGAGAGGGAAAGAGGTGTGATCGTAGATGATTCTGAATCCGGTTCTGACGTCGACCCCGAGGAGGAGAAGATGTTCGATGAGGGGTTTACTCGGTTGAGGAACGGATGGATCTTCTCGTTCAATAGTCATCCCTTTGGATTACAACTTGTTGACCAACACAGAGTGCGTGGTCCCCTCTTTGGTCTCCCTTTGCTCTGGCACCGAGAACAGGACTCTAAAGTCGTTCAAGGATGCCGACCTATCGTTAAGCGTATCTAGAATGTCTTTGCGGGTGAGTTGATATCTTTGTTTTTGTTCTT